CGGGCTTCCCTGGCCACACCAGCCAGCAACTCGCCACTGCAGAAGAGGTAGAGGAGGCAGTGCCGGGGAGGGGAGGAGGCAGTGCCGAGCGCGGGCACGGGGCGACTCTCGGCGACTCTCGGCGACTCTCGGCGACTCTCGGCGACTCTCGGCGACTCTCGGCGACTCTCGGCGCGCCGAGCGCGAGCACGAGCGCGACGCGCTGCAGCTCCCCGCCCGAGAGGTACTTGACCTGTCCGTGACGCGCCACTCGGTGTGAGGAGGGGACTCAGAAGGGGCCGACCTTCACAGCTCTCCCCCCGCGCCGGGGGTGGGGGGGGGGGGGGGGGGTTCCGCCTGGGCAGAGCAAGCGTTCGGCCCACTGCCGGTCCCGAGGACGAAGAAATCGTTAATGGGCTTGAAGAGGGAAGAGGACCCGCGGTCGCCCAAGGCAAGGCAAGCCCGTCGGCACCTGCCCGACGAAAAATTTGGGGAAGTTTTGGGGAGGTGTGGGAAAATGTGGGGAGATATGGGGAGGTGTGGGGAGATTTGAGGAGATGTGGGGAGATGTGAGAGAATATGATGCAGGCCGTCGGCACCTCCTCGAGTGGGTACGGGTGCGCCTCGATGAACTCCTGCCTCGCCGTGAAGGACAGGTCGAGCACCGCGTGCCTGGGGCGGAGGAGATGGGGAGATATGGGGAGATATGGGTTTAGATATGGGGAGATATGGGGAGATGTGGGGTCGAGCACCGCGTGCCTGGGGCGGAGGAGATGGGGTCAATCTCGGCTGAACCTCGGCTGCCTCTCGGCTGCCTCTCGGCTGCCTCTCGGCTGCCTCTCGGCTGCCTCTCGGCTGTCTCTCGGCTGCCTCTCGGCTGCCTCTCGGCTGTCTCTCGGCTGCCTCTCGGCTGCCTCTCGGCCGTATCTCGGGCCGCCTCTCGGCCGTATCTCGGGCTGCCTCTCGGGCTCGGCTCGGCCCGTCTCGCCTGCAGCCGCTCGAGATATGGGGAGATATGGGGAGATATGGGGAGATATGGGGAGATATGGCCTGCAGCCGCGCAGCAGCCGCTCGAGCAGCACGTTGAGCGCGACAGAGCGCTGGACCTGCGTGTGTTGCGAGGGTCGTGCGCAAGCCGTGAGCCGGTCCACACGCAGCCATGGGGGAGGGGGGATGGGGGAGGGGAGACGTTGCTGCACTTGCGTGTTTGCGAGGTCGTGCGCGATCGCGGAGCCGCCGTGCGGGCCCTGCACCTGCACATTGGAGGTGTGGGGAGGTGTGGGGAGGTGTGGGGAGGTGTG